GAGCACTACCATGACTTGCTGTATAATCTCATGTGCTGCATGATACCAGTGAGGTTCCAGTTAACTGATGAATCGTCTTGTCTTTACAGTTCCACTGAAGCCTTCACTGAAATTATATGCTCATACTTTCAACGGCTCTTCCTGTTCATCCTATGTATCACTGTCAGGATGCAATGAAATAGAGCCTTTATATCAGGTGGTGGATTCTCCACAATTTTGAAATAAGTTAGGATGTTATTCTAAAAGATGTGCTGTAGTTCAATTAGGAATTAATTCAGGTCCTATGGCCTGTATTAATACAGTAGATTAATGCAGTGACCACAGTTACCCCTCTGGCTTTATAATCTTGAATCTAGGTGCCACTAAATACCACTTTTAAAGAAGACATTTGAAAACTGATAGAGTTTTGGCTGACTTATTACAGAAATGGTAGAAGATCTGTGGGCAACACAACATTGCTACACTACATTGCAACATCACTACATAAGAATTAAATGTTGATGTCAGGACCAGGACTAGTCAGACAGCATGGCTGTGTTGGGAAGAGTGCTCCAGTAGAGCCTTGTGAAGAAACTCCCAGTATTGAGATCCCTGCTGTTTTCATGCATTCCCATCAGTACCAATCATGTATATACAGTGAGGGACTTTAAGTCTTCACACCATTTGTCTTCCTGTTTTGTACCTTTTCAGTGCACCAAATGCCCTTTCATCATATTCCTGGAGGATATGCCTTTTTGAATGGAAGGATAGTTCAGTTCCAATGGCTCGTTTAATCTGAGGCTTCTCTTAGATTACAACCAAGGTTCCCAATGCAGACCATCATAGCTTTTGTGATATGGATGCTTTTTAAAAGTCACCACTAAGGGGGTTGTAGCTTGGTGTGCAAATAGCCACATCGCAAAGCCAGCTGACATACTCTGATTGTCAACACTGCTGAAAGACTCAGAGGATGAGTACAGTGAACTGTGGAGATTGAACTTTGTTTTGTCCCTAGAAGTGATTGATGTGGGTCAAGTTTGATACACATTCATGGGGAAGTGTGCAAGAAGGAAGATCTAATTGTGCCTGAATTGAACCTGTTCTGTGAAGACAGGGTTTCTATCACCAGGCCTGCTGGTCTGATGCTTCACAACTCTTGCCCCAGCTCTCCCAGCAGGATTCCTAGGGATACTAGGTACATATTTAAACCAGTAAACAATCCCCATCCTGACAGCATCTGGTTTGCTAGTGTGTCTTTGAGACTTCCACAGTACAATATTTCTGCAAACAAAAGCAACGCTGGAGTCAGGGCAGGAGGAGAGGTTTATGGGTGGAGAACCATAATGAAAGAAGCAGGATCTCCTGTGGTCAAACGGTTTTTTCCAGGGTCTGTCTATGTGACTTACCAGGCTGTATCCCCATGCTGGCTTCACACGCATGCAAGGGGCTAGTTAGCTATGACAACAGGTAATGCAGCAGCCCCCTCACTTTACAGCCTCACACACACACACACACACAGACAAAAGCAAAGGAAGGTCAAATAAGGACAGATAATCTCTTTATGAAACAGGAAGCTCTGCAACCTCCCCACCTGCAGCTGCTACTCTGTGAAGAGTCATCAAGAGCTTTCAGACCCCACAGTTAACAGAGGTCTTTCAAGCTGGCTTTTCAATTATGTTTTCCATCTCTCTCTCTCTCTCTCTGCAATAAAAACTCCAGACACTTGCTTGTTGATTGGGATGCAAAGGAAGGATTGGAAAAGGCTCCGAATGACTTTAAGTGATTCCGTATGGCTCTCCAGCTCCTGCACTCATCCCCAGCTGGAATTTGCTGCCAGTTTCTCCATTGCTCATTTATTGTCACAGAAAATGTGCAATCCGGCTATTTTGCCTGTCAAGACCAGATTGGCAAAAGCAGGAAATCCTACCGCAAGAGCCCTACCTGGTCCAGGCCAAGGAAGACCCAGCTGCCTGGCTCAGACTTATCTCTGAATATATCCATTTTAGGGAAATCAAGAACACAAGCTGTATCTATAAACAGTTCCTCAGGATACTCTTAGGCTATTCAGAAATACTAGGCTGGTATTTCTAGACTAGGCACTCTCTCGATAGTATCAGGAGCGACACTAAAGAGTGATGTGCTGGAGTATTGTTTCACAGGCGTGCCTCTTGTCTGGCCATTTAGAATTTTCTCAGACTTTGAACTCCTTCAGGTCATAGTTTCCTACGTACCAGCAGGAGTACAGATGATCTGGAAGTGATAAATCAAGGTAGCTTCTCAAGGTAGCTTTGTTTTCTAGTCAACCCTGAGCGGAAAAAAAATGCTATATATCCATTATTGTCCTTATATCCACTGAATTTAGTAGATGAATTTGATGCAAAAAGGCCATCTTATATGTAATACTTTGCCTAACAGGCGACTCACAGAATCACTTTCCTTTTCCTGAAAAGGCAACGGGACTGAGCACTACTAAGCAACACAACACTACATTAGACAGAAGAAGCATGTGTTTGAGACTTCAAAGTGGTGGCTGTAGAGTAGAATTGGAGTAAAGAAAAACAGGAGGAAAACCACTAGAGCCTTTTAATGGTCTTATGAGAAAATTAGACACATCATACAGCCTTACCCCAAATTCAACCCTCGTGTAATTGTACAGACTCCAATATCATTACAGTAGTGATGCTCTTGGACCATTACATTTATTTTGATTTCTACAACTTGGCTGCCAGAATTTCATAAAACAAACACCATTTAGGTGGTTTAACCTGTGGCTTTAGCAGTTTGGGTAATTCATCTCCTGCCTTGCGTCTCATACACACTCTCAAAAGATGCACCCCCTGGCTACCCCCAAAGCATTACCCCGAAATATTTACAGTTAGAGTCTTTGGGAAAACAAAAGAGATGAGCAGAGGTCAACAAGCATCCATATCAAAGGAAGAGAAGAAACAACATTAGGGAATTTGATTTATAATCCCAATTACTCTGTCCGGCTTGGCAGTTCTCCCTGAAAACTCTGTGGTAAGACGTTTCAGAGTGATTATGCGTTCGGAGTCCACTTAAATCGGGGTGGGCAAAATACAGCCTGCAGGCCGGATCCAGCCCACCGAGAGATTCTGTCTGGCCCGTGATAGGTCCTTCAGTCCTGCCGGGTCCAGGCGTGGGGGGCAGCGTGGACCATGGCATGTGCACCCGGTCCTGCTGCTCCCAAGCGTGCAGAGGCAGTGCAGCAGCTAAATACGGTGCCTCACTCTGCCCAACTGCGGCAGTCTCTGCTGCTGCTGCCAGACCTAGCCCCACTGCCCAGGAACCTCAGCCCATTCACCCTGCACTGACCACTGGGGCATCGGACAGAGAAGGCAGGCGGGTAGGGTCTCCTTGGGAACCAGATCAGGACTCTGGTAGGCAGGGTGCACTCGGCTGGGTGGATGAGATGGGGCCACGGGCAAGCAGGGAGCAGTGTTCAGGCGTGAGATAGGCAGCTGGGGCTGGGGCTGGGGCTGGGGCTGGGGCGGGGGCTGGGGCTGAGATGGCGAGGCGATGACAGTGGAGGACCAGGGGGCAGCCATGTCCCTGCCCGTGGAGCCAGCAGTGGGTGCGGGGTGAATGGACCCATGGTCAGATAGGATCAATTGCCCCTGTCTTTCCCCATCCTGCCCCTCGTGCTGCACCAGGCTGGGTCAGCACTCCCCACCCCTTACCTGCAACAGCTCACCAAAACTCCTTAAGTGGCCCTGCAGCCCAAATAATTGCCCACCCCGACTTAAATTTGGGTTCCCATATGTCATGCGAGTTGTATTTTCATTGTATTTCCATCAGTGTAACATATGGACTTCACTGCTTTTCATGAAAAATAAGAGATACCAATCTCACTGATTTCTTTCATCTAATTCATTCTATTATCTTTTTTGTGTCATGATGGCATTTCAGCTATGTACACATTTTGTAGCCTGATGTTGGTAGCGATTACCATTAAGTCAAGGCTAATTATGATGAGTGATATGTCATAATGGGACTATAGGGACAGGTACTAAGACTATTGTATTGTGCTGTCTTTATTTTCTAAATAGACTGAGTGTCTGGTGTTTTGGTGTCTGGAGTTCAAAAGGTGGCTCTGACTAATCCTATACCATGAGTTGCTAGAATAAGTTTGCTAGCCCTAGTCTTTGACTATCTTCCTACCTGAGACCTGCTGTAAATTCCTCCAATAGTATCAGTTGGATGGATAATTTTTCACTTAGTCCTAAACTGCTGGATAATTTGCTGCGCACCGTTAAATATCTGCATATTCCACACTGGAGGTGCCTGCTTTTCACTACTGGGGAAAATTATTCCTGTGGACATATAATTAATAAAACATATTGGGATGAAAGGCACTTTCCAAATATATTGTAATAGGTCTCAGTTGCATTGAATTCTGTATTGGAAATGCCTGTTTTTGAAGCTGAATTTATATTACCTCCTCCTCACTCTTCCTTCTATAAGTATGGAACTGGATTCAGTGATACCAGTTCTTGATATCTTATCAGGACCCACAAGATATTTCAGGTTTTCCATAAAGGCCCAGCAGCTGGACTCATGGGGTGATGTGAAAATCAGGGCTTTCATTTTTCTGTTTAACTTTAAATCTGGGAAATGCATGAAAATGTGGCCCAAGTGCTCTCAAAAAGCTCATAAACCAGAAAGTAAATGCAAAGAAACTCAAATTATTATTTTATTTTATTGGGCTTTTTTTTTTAGAAGACAACTAAACGTTTTTTAGTATCCTGGGATTGGCAGTTCTATGCCCTTTAACCTGAAGGTAACAGTAACTGTGAAACAAGTGGATGGAAGAAAATGTATCCTGTGCTCTACTCCCCTTTCAGTCATGACATCCATATTTGTGGTGCATCCTGTGCTCCCTAGAAGGTTTCTTGGCTATTTATAAATGAATTTTTGGAATTTCAAGATTGATTATAAAAACTGAAGCACCCAGAAGAAGAAATGATTCTCTCTTGCCTCAGACTCTGTATGTCTCTTCACAGGATTTCTATGAGGCGGTCTTGAAAGTGCTTGGGGATGAGGATGAAAGTGAGGAGAAGGAAGCGAAGCTGAAGCAAGGCTTGAGTGAGCTCCCTGAAATCTATACACTGCACCAGGAGATCCTGGAGGAGCTGGAAGAGAGAGTCCTCAACTGGTAAGTGACTGCCTGGCTTGATGGCTTCAGCTCATCCTCAGAAGTTTGAAAACACTTTGCTTCTCTTTGTCTGTGCAGTACTTTCAGGAAGGTTAGGAGTCCATCAAAAGAAGATGTCTACCCAAACTGAATGGCCCATTGAACTTGTATGTTTAAGGCACATCACTTTCTATAGCCAGCATCACATCCAGTAGTCTTTGACTCCCCAGCCCATGTGATCAGGTACTCATTTATAGTTGGAAGTGGCCTTTGCCATAAACCCAAGGCAGGGCTTGAACTCATACCACCAGAAGTATAGCAAGATGCCTTAACTACTCAGCCAGCACACTCCTGGAAGGAGAACAAGCTACGCCTCTTTAACAAGTATGCTGTATGAGGAGAGGTAAGCTTGCAGAGATACAGTAGGTTTGGGAAAAATATTTTATTCTCATATCTGAAATGTTCACATACTGCTTTTGTATCCCTCACTCCAAATACAACCATCTCAATGTTTCCAAGCAGCTGTACAGTAACAAACCACTGTGTACATCCCAGAGCTTCCAAGCAACCTCCTTGATCAATGTGTGTAACTCCCGGCTCACGTGCACTGTCATTTCTGATCTGTTTCTACCGTGCCTAGCACCCTGGGACTCAAAGTGATCAAGATCTCTAAATGATTGTCAAAAAGCAGAAGAGTATGGGTGAAAAGTGAGCCACAGACTCAGCCACCACCCAGGTGGAAAAGTGGGGAGGGAAAGGATCCTCCAAAACACTCACAAAAAGAAAGAAAGCTTTTTCCCCAGTTTTAGATGCCATGAAAACTGAATTAACTTAAGATACAGAGATTCCCAGAGCAACTTTCTAACAATATAGTTTTCAGCTAAAGGGAAAGGGAGCCCCTGACACAATGAGGACAAGACTTTGCCTTGGCTGAATTTCCAAGGTTAAAACAGAAGCTTTCAAGGCTACTAAGGATGTCTGCCTAAACTGGGGCTTCCCTAAATGGACTAAATCTGTCCACAGTAGAGCCAAGCTTTACCTAGGTCTTCAGAGATGGAGTATATTTTCTAAGCTGGTCAGGCCTCTGCCAGCCTCAAACTGGTGTCTCAAATAACTGAGAGAAACCTCTACCTAATCCATGCTAACACCCCAGCCCCCATCTGTGTCCCAAAGAGCCAGAGCCAGACCTCTACTGAGCCCCAGATCCCAGGCTATTCTGACTCATTCAAAGCTGGGGCAAGTTATATAGCTCCCTAGCCCCACCCCCACTACATTCCAGCCAATCAGGAGTCATTCTCATTTATGGCTCACTTTACTTCAGCTTTTCGCAACAGGATGCCTACCATAGTTATCCTGCATTCACAGCACAGCAGCCCTGATCAGCCTTACAATTACAAATCAGAGCACATAACAAACAGAGGCATTGTGTGTTGGTTTCCATTTGCCAAAGGATCATTGGAAATGACAGTGAATTGTTAGAGCTATTCTGGAAGTGAAAATGCTAGATAACAAATCACAAGCTGCCTGTTCCCAGTCTTCCTAGCTTGCAATGATGCTACTGGGGTACAAAATGCACGGTCAGTGAAAATGGGCACTGACTTTAGCTCCGAGTACTAAACAAGCCCCACAGCCCCATAGCCAACTCCAGCTCTAGCTGTTACTCCCCAGGCTATATTTTCACTGCTGTATTCTCTTACCATCCTGAAACTCCCAAAGCAACTCTCTTGGCCCATTACCACAATCTCTTGCCTGGACATGCCTATGGACATTACTTAGAGGCAATTCTGCAATGTGCAACAGTGTCTTTGCAGCCTTGGGTGTGGACTGGCTCACTCCCTGCTAGGGATTTCTTTTTGGTAATAGTTAAATGCTGCACTATTGGGTGCTGAGTAGACAGGAGTGGAATGGCAGTGCTGAGATGGCAGGGGTCAGGGTGGGAAAGGAGCTATACACGAAAGGGACATGAGGATGTAGCTTTTCTCCCGCTAATGCCAGAACCCAGAACAAAGGTCCTCATCCCCCCTGGAAGAACTGGAAAATTTGCTTAGAGAAATGTGAGCTATCTCCCCCAAGGAAGACATTCTGCCAAAATGAAGGTTTTTCTGCAATAGGTACACTTATAGCAAAGGGACAAGCATCAGAGAAGGGCCATTCTTTAGCAGCTCAAGTTGATGGCCAGCACTTCAGCGCGGTTCCTCATTTCCTGCCAGTTAAACCCAGGCTGTAGCTGAGAGCTTGCAATGTCATTCCCTGTTATGGGGCTGATGAATAGAATTTGTGTAACCAGTGGGGCTTTATTTGTTATTTATTTCTTGTTCTTCTCTTTATGTGGCTTCAGGGAGGAACACCAGAAAGTGGCTGACATTTTTCTCTCCAGAGAATCAAGGTTCCACCACCACACAGCATACATTATGCAGTTTGATCGGAATTTGGCTTTGCTGGATGAAACCTGCCTTAAATCTTCCAAGCTGGCTACTGTCATCCAGAATTTTGAGGTAAGGTCTCTTTTTGGTCCTTTCCTCACATTAATTTATGGTGGCACTGCATTGCTTTCTCAAAGATATTCCTGTCTGCAACTCCACCAGCATCAAGGTCGGGTATAGGGGAAGAATCTAAGTGATAGGTCTTAAAACACACTCTGGAGGTGCACCTAGAGGGACATATCTGTGTGTGTATATGGGCATACACATATGAATACATTTCCAGGGGTGCATATGTACGCCAGTATGTTTGTACGCGCACACAAGTGTGTGTAAGTGTGTGTTCGCTCATGCATGCGTTTGTCCATACAGACATGAGTATCTTTGACTCCCATATATAGTTTCATAGTTGGTAGGGTTGGAAGAGACCTGAGCAGATCATCAAGTCTGACCCCCTGCCATGGCAGGAAAGAGTACTGGGGTCAAACGACCACGGCTAGGTGGCTGTCTAGGCTCCTTTTAAAGACCCCCAGGGTAGGAGCCAGCACCACTTCCCTTGGAAGTTGGTTCCAGATCCGCCCTGACAGTGAAGTAGTGCCTCCTGATATCTAGTCTGAATCTACTCTCCGTCAACTTATGGCTGTTATTCTTTGTTAATCCCAGTAGTGCTCGGGGGAACAGGGACTCTCCCATTGCCTGCTGGTCCCCCTTGGCCAGTTTATAAACGGCCAACAGATCCCCTCTCAGCCTTCTCTTGTGAAGGCTGAACAGGTTCAGGTCTCGTAGTCTCTCCTCGTAGGGCCTGCCCTGCTGCCCCCGATCATGCGAGTGGCCCTCCTCTGGACCCTCTCAATGCTGCCCACATCCCTCTTGAAGTGCGGTGCCCAGAACTGGACGCAGTACTCCAGCTGCAGCCTGACCAATGTCATAGAGAGGGGGAGGATCACCTCCTTGGACCTGGTTGTGATGCATCTGTGGATGCATGACAAGGTGCAGTTAGCCTTCCTGACTGCATCCCCACATTGTATGCACTGCCCCCCTAATCCCAGGACTGTCCGGGCCCCTGTCTCTTACCTGGGTATTTCTTGTGCTCGTTGTCAGTCTTGGATGGGCTGTTCTTGTGGGTGACACTTGGTTTGATGTTCCATGGCTCCCTCTGACCTCATCCTCCCCTTCCCCCAATGAGCCTAGTTTAAAGCCCGCCAGAGGAGATCAACCAACCTGAAAGAGAACACACACTTACCTTTGGGGGAGAGGTGAAGCCCATCCCACCCGAGCATGCAGGTTTATATTGGAGGGATCACTGTAATCCTTCGTTTTCTCCCTTTGTTAATTAACAAAGCCCTTTGAATACAGAGATATGGTAATTCCCCCCATTACAATCTCTTCCCTTTGTTTCTGTCTGTCTGTCTCTCCATCTCTCTCTTCCTTTCCCACCACATTCGCTTTTCTTTCCATTAAAGCTGCACTCGTAATGTTTTGAAAAACCTCTTACAGTTCCTTCTGCTGCTTCCACCCGCTCTCTGCGTCTCCTATTCTTCTGGAGACCATGTGCTTAAGGGGAGCATAGTGACAAGGAAGCAATAGGAGCAGAAATGCCTTCACAGAAGGGCACTTTGGGAATCAGTTATTTTAGGTTCTACTCCCAGCTCTCTCACCAATGCACTGTGGGGTTATGGGCAAGTCCTTTACCCGTTCATAGAAAACAAGTGTGTTTCTCAGTTGTATTAGCTCATTGAGTTCAACATAATTGAAAAACCCTATTTGACTATGAAGCTGAACCCATGACAATTGGCAACTTTTAAAAGTAGCTCCAACATGACAAGCTTATGTGGCTTCACCTGTGCCTTGATGGAGCTTTCAGTTTCGTTAAGCTAAACTGATTGATCCAACATGATGGCAAGCCAAACCCTTCTTTGCTCATCAATACAGGGCCACTGTATGTCATTTTCTCACTTTTAAAAGAGGAATAACAATGTTTACTTGGCTGACAGGGAGGCTGTGAGGATAAATGAGTTACTGTACTTTAAAGGTTATTTAGAATGTCAGCTCCATGGGGTATGGATCATGTTTTTCTGTGCAAGATGTCTGAAATATTAATAATAATAATTCATTTCAAGAGCATTTGCTAACAGGTACCTCATGGCAACTGCTGTTATCTCCTGTCATAAGAATAGGGAAAGTTTGGCATTTCACACTCCACTGTGCAGACCCTTGGCAAATGCATCTTTTTCATGACAGCCACCATGCTCCCCATCACTTTCAACCAATCCTCATTATTATGTGGGGGTCAAACCCTGTTTACAGTGAAGCCAAGTGGGGCTGCTCATATGAATAAGGAAGACAAATTTGATCCACACATTGAATAGCAATCTCCATAGTACAGTATATGTATCGCCAGCAGTCATGCATCACAGGACTTTGTTATCCCATTCCAAGAAGTGCGAACATCTCAATTTGACTGTCCTTCCATGTCATCACTCCAGAGTGTGGGGTCCCCCACCCCGTCCAGAGAGGCTTCTAAACCAAACAACACCAGGAGTTATTCAACACCTACCTGGATTGGGCTCTTACTCTTATCTACAATGCCTAGAGCATAAACCCATTCCATTTTTCTTGTCAAATTACCTTTGGTGTTTTTCAAATGAACTGCACTCTTCTTTCCCATCTCCTTCCTTTCTCCTGGAGGCAGGGTCAGACCCATCTCAGATAAGCAACCGAGAGCATAGTATAAAGAAATAAAGGCGCTGGCATTCACACTTTTCTTTAGCATGTTGCTTTGCAGTTCAGCTACAATCAGATGTAATGGGATTTTGATTTGAGTCATAAATCTAAGCTCAGGAGCCCACTGTGTTTTTACTTTCCCTGGGCTCCTACTCACAAACAACTGTGTAACAAGAGGATTAAATAAACATAAAATTAATTGTGCATTTAAGAAAAGAAAGGGGAAAAAGGATTTTTTCCCCCCTCAGTTTTGAAGCTGGTGCAGCTGTTGGCAGTTTTCAGAGCTTTAGATGCCAGAAACCTTCTTTGCAAAAAAAACCAAACAGGCCTGTACCTAGGTAATGGGGTCTGAGAGTGCAGTTACATCTGATTTCTTTACCTCCAGTCAAGTCAGCCTGAATTATCCCTACCCATGGAATGGTCCGTTGGTGCCAAATGGTTTTTATGAACATTTGGGTTTGCCTTAGATTTGAATCCGACCAGTATTTCTTGGTCAAAAGCAAAGTGACATCTATTTCTCAGTTCTGAATATCTCCTCAGCTCACTCTGTCTGTATTTTCCCAGAGCATCCATGGTTCTTTTCAGAGTTTCCATTGTTTCAGTGAATGACATGCCCCATCCACATGCACACTTGCTGATGAATGGAAGGATTCTTAAAGTACAAGTAAAACCCATACATTAAAAAGGTGCAGTGACTGGCTAGCAAGCAACCTATGTACTGAACCTTTCCCATGTCCCCCCTTGCTAAACAGAAGGGTTGACCCTTCGTCATTTCTCATCGGTACAGTTCCACATATCTATAACTTACCAGTGTGGAGTGACAGTGTCATCTTATGGCCCAGGCACAGCACTATGTGGCAGGAAGCCAGAGGTCTACTGCTGTTCCTCCCACTGGCTCAGCTTGTAGCCTTGGACACGGGCTGTATTAACATGGTTATGTATCTCATTCTGAGGATGACAATATTTAACCCATCATAGAGGTATTGCAAGGCTTAATAAGTGACTGTATAGATGATATTTTGGACATTTAGAACATTAAAAATGTCATGTCCAAAGCCAAATATAGTAATAACCTGCAATGGCTGATAATGGACTCTCTTCTGTACAACTTCCATGATTAGCTTATACTCCTATTAGTGTTACTTTCTCCCTCTTCCCTATATCTCTTTACAAGCCATTGGATTATTACTAGAGATATACAACCTTATGCAAATAAACCAAGTTTTGCCCCATTTCTCTCAGGTACTGCAACCCCAAATTTCCTGATGCTTCCAGATGGGCAAGATTTTTCTAGACTGCATTGTGGTTTCATTTTGGCTTTGCAACAGAAAACAACACTGGGTGCATCTACACATTGCTGTATGGTGACGTTGCTACAGCACCGTGCTTTAGTATTTTCTTTTGGAAGTACTAAAGCATGGTGCAGTATGGGTGGTTACAGCGCTGTACTCACGGTGCACAGGTAAATTCTGTCACTACATCACCATAGTGGTACTCTATACCCAGGGAGCGCACAGTTACAGTGACGTAGGTGGCAATGACGTGTAGTCACGTGATTACTGTTGCTGTAGCATGCCATACAGTGTCGTGTAGCACATCATTACATCGCCATAGAGCAACATGTAGATACACCCACATAGTAGTCACGTGGCAGGTCTAAGTTTGATTGAACCTTCATAAACCCATACACAACGAAGACAGTTTGAAGGGAAATGCAGAGAAAAGAAATTTACTCATTTCTGACATGTGTTAAATCAGATCCTTGTGTCCCCTCATTTTGCTATAACAGCTGGCCAAAAGTTTCGGGGGACTAGCTATTCCTAAGCCAGTCTCACTGGGGTGTTTTGATTTGGATCAAAATAAAACCTCCTTATTCAAAAATCTGGCAAGGGAGCTCAGCAAGCTTCATACAGATCTGGTTGCTTTGGATGTCATCCTAAATATTCTCATTGGTGATCTCTGTCATTCTCTCCCTCTCAGTCTGAACTGTTTTGTGGTGCTACATATAAATAATATTCTTAAATTACACAGTGCCTTTTGTGGGTCTTTAGAGCAATAAAGAATTAATTGGATTTGAAGATCAGCTGGGTGGGCAAGTGGGGAACAGCTTGGTGGCAGGTGCATGGCAGATTTTTATGAGACACATTAGACCAGTGAGATCAGAATTCAGGTCAGGCTGCAGATCACTGATCTTTTGCATTTCTCCCCCTCTCTCGAGGACAGCAGAATGCTGGTAGCAGCCCCATGAGCATGAAACACCAGCTTTTGAAAGTGGTACAGCGTGTATTCCAGTACCGGGTGCTACTCACAGGTCAGTAAAGCTTAAATGCTCTCACATTTGCTTCAGAGAAGACCCCTCCTTCATGCATTGCACTAGGGCTAGATGCTGATGGCAGACAAGAGCTAGAGAAGGAAAAATGGGGGTGGAGCATGGGGCCAGAATCCTCACGGAGCATCAGTCTCTTTCATAGGTGATATAGGAAATATGTTGGGCTAATAGGGTATATCTACACTGCAGTAGCAGCAACTTCATGTCCCACTGACATGCTGCAAACCCAGAATGTGCTGGTGATGTCTGGGGTCACCCCTAGTAGGGGCTCTCCAACATCCTGGACTACAAGATTTCAAGGGTATCTGCCATGGAATGGCCTCACTGGTATATATGCAAGTTTGGAGTGTGCCAGCAGGAACAGGTGGACAGGGCATGCTCAGCCACAACCATAGAGACGGACCTTACCTACAAACATTGGATTGAGATGCAGAGAGCAACAGAACTGTGCTAGCCTCTGGAGGCTAATGGCAGTTCTGTGCCTGGGAAAGGAAGAAACACCACTCTTCAGTGAGATTGCATTGATGTGTTACTAGAAGATGCAGGTTCCTTTTGCACCCATTGACTTGACTGTACCCTTACTCATGTTCATGGATAGGAAAGGAAAAGAGTTCAGGCACTTGCTGTCAACCCATAAATGTGATTCCATTTACAATTTAGGCCTTACCCCTTATTTAATTGACTTCAGCCTAGAGATGAACCAAAACAAAAACCTGGACTAACACCTTTGAACTCTGGAAAAACTCCATAGGGCAAGACATTTCCCCTTTACACTCACCACTATCCAGGGACCTGGCTCTCTCTCATCAGGACTCAACTTTATCTTCAAGAACATCCCATGAGATTGGGCCGTTCATTCCATCCTGCTGGTGCAGACCTAGCTGGCTTATGGAAGGAAAGTGCACAAGGTATTAGATTAGGAAGTATAGGCTTAATACAAAGGAATGGTGGAGAGCTGGACAGGGAGGGAAGTGGTGAGATGTAATATTTAGCAGCAACAGAGGAAGTCGGTACATCTGATGGGACCACAGGAAACCAGTTCTCATTAGACATAAAGATGGAGAGCAGTGTTGGGTATGTATGTGTGTGGGTGGGGAAAGATGGGACATTAAGAAGGAAGCAGTAAACCCCACCTATATTCAACAGCTGATGAAAAGTATAACATGAGAGAGCAGACTCCTATAAATGTAGCAGAACAAAGGGATCATCTGAAGTTTTATTCACAGCACAGATTAGCAGCAGTTTCATCTCACTCCAAACACTTTGATCAAAGATGCAACTCATTTTTCACAGCTGTTTCTGCTTTTTTAGTAACAGTGACACAAGCGAGCACCGGATGCCAGTAGTAGGATATTTTTTGACTAACTTGCTTCCTTCTCTGGGTGTGTCTACACTAAGTGAGATAGACTTTCCAGGGACATAAGCAGCATGTGATATTTAGCTATCCTGCTTAGTCCTTTCAGTGGTTCCTGTGAATGCACATAGCAGCACTGATTCTGAGAATGGATATGATGTCCCTTACTGCCATGGGCACTTCTAGTACAATAAATCCCCTAAGGCCTAGTACCATGGCCAAGAGGATTGGGGTAATTACCAGATATGAGGAACTGCACTGTGGCAGAGGGTTAGGTGAAACAGTCAAACCACTTCAACAGCAGCGATTATGGTTTCTGCTCCACACTTGAGCAAAACTATTGGATTTGGCCATATCAGTGTAGTCATCACCCCACTCTTTGTAGCCAATTGATTAAACCAACGGGTTGAAATCACCCTAGATGGCTGTTGTGTGCAGACACAAGGTTTAGTGCAAGTACTGCAAAGTCGACATTCCAGTGAGCTACTGCCACACTTTTGTACCTGAACTAAAACCATCTGTGGATATAAGCACAGCCCCTCACTTTCATGCTAAGACAGGTAGGAGAGCATTCATTTTCTCTGGAAGGTGTGACAAGTAAAATACACACAGGTCCTTATGTTCACTGCTTGCTGTTTCTAGCCAGATAAGGAAGGCTATTTAATCTGCTCACTGCTTGCCAGTTAGTGTACCATACTTATAACCAAAAGGAGTTGCCCACCTTTGTTAAATATCTCTAGCCAAGTGCAGAGGCTGCATCTGAGAAAGGAAAGTCTAAATACTGCGCCCTCAGATGGTGAACTGAAAAGTCGAATAGCAGACTCTTCTTATCCTTTCCAAATCCAGAAGAGAGCCGGGTATACTTCAGAGATGAGGGAGGACGTAGGAGAAGTGAGGTCATACATGTGGGGCAGAGCGAGGATTGGGTTTCCATCCCATAGATCTTTTTCTCTGAAGTAAAATGTAGGTCTTGGATGAGGTAACAGAAGAGTAAAAAGTTACAGGAGTGGTGTTCAATAAATAAAGGCACTGAGATAATAAGGTGATAAGGATTATATAACAGTGTAGTGGAAACAAAGAGAGACATACCCTTAGTCCCACAGGTAGCTTAGGTGAAGTAAAAGGACTTCTTTGCCCAAGTAAAGGATGTCAAAACTGGCCTTTAACTACCTTTCCTGTTGTACACAGTTTACTGAATCTATTTTTGAATTTGAATTTGGCTCCGGCAATAATTGTTGAATTTCTCTGCATCTAGAATACTGGCATTCCAGAAAGATCAAACCCCATGTACTCCAGTTCCCACTTACATAGGACTCAGTAAGCATTTCTAGTACTATTCATTCTTGTGTGAAAATAAAAGAAATCCATCAGGAGACCATTTATTAAGTCAAACAGAGTCACGCTCAGCTGCTTCTCATGGCTGAGGAGCAGGAAAACATTTTAGTCCATTTCAGTCCACGTGGGTTTCTCCTGCCAAGCTGGGTTTTGCTTCTCAGATCTGAATAAACCAAAACTCTTTAAGTAAAACTCAGCCCAAAGGATGAGTTTAAATTTGGAACGATGCTAAATCTACCCAGATAGGTGATCCTTAAGAATAAAGGTTTACAGGAAAGTAGCATTTGTGTTTTATCTAGTCAAGACTATATTTTAATTTCCCTGCAATTGACTGGATGCTCTGTATTCTGATTGTTTCCTACAGATTACTTGAATAACCTTTGTCCTGACTCTGCGGAGTATGAAAACACACAAGGTAACTTGAAATGGGTTAAGCAGAAGCCCAAATTATCATAGCATTGAGCTGATGGGTCAGATGAGAGATCTCATTACCTCTCCAAAATAAACCCTTTGGGCAGCGAGCATACCTTTTCTTTGCCTGTACATAGCTTAGGATATGATATAACACTGATCAGAGTGATATTGTGTTGCTTAGCATAAAGTACCTTGAGCTACCACGGGCCTGACACGTCTCTTACATTACTGCAAATCAAGATGAACTCCCTACAGCTACACCAACACGCCACAAGTGAGATCAGACTCCGCAGTTGTGAATGTGGAAGGCACATTGTAAAGCCAAATTCCATACTGCCACTTCTATGTGGAACAATTAAGGGCACGGCCTTCTTACTGAATGGAAATTCACATCCAAATTCAGCTGCTGGTCATTTCCATATATCATAGAAACATGACCCACCTCTCGGTACTGTGAGGAAAGAGGAGGAGGTAACTTTTCAAACCAGGTCTGAGGTCATGTCCAGGGCAAGAGAGAAGAAGCTCACACTGCTGCTGTTTGCATCCTATTTCACTTCCTCCATCTGTGAATAACTGAAGTAAAGCAGGAGCTGCAGAATTTGGATACTGACCCAGTTCTCAAACACTCATGGAGCTCAGAAATGGTTGGTCTTAGCACACTGGGGCTAGACACAGAATTTGACTGAGATCTGGATGTGGATTTGAGATACCATCTCCACCTTCCCAAAATGCAGGGTCTACAAAGGACTGTAATTTACTACAGCAACAACAATAATAATGCAGTTTTTTAGAATAAAAAGCTCTGCAGGTCCCTGGCTGTTTCACAAGCACATGGAGTAATGGCCTAAAAGCTAAGTTTTGGGGAGTTCCTATCAGTCTGACATACCACAGCCACTGTAAGAGAACTGAGTGCCCACCTTTTGGTTCATTCCCAAAGCACAAGTAACTGTGAAGCAAATGGGAGGGTTTGATGTTTTTGTTTGAATATTATTCAGCATGTACTTCCAGCTCCCTAATGCTTTGCAATAGTTCTGAGAGTTTTCAACAGCAACAACGGCTGAACAACTCTTATCAGTGTTCTTTCATTCCTGAACTCAGACCACCACAAACACACTTGTGAAATAGAGCATCATAATCAACTTATGCAACCTGAAGAACAAATCCAGATGCCCAAAACATATCAGGATTTTCACTATCATTTTCCTACAACATTAGGTGCATATAGCAGCGGGACCTCCCAGTGGAAGCTTTCATAGTTTCATAGTAGGTAGGGTTGGAAGGGACCTGAGCAGATCATCAACTCCGACTCCCTGCCATGGCAGGAAAGAGTACTGGGATCAAACGACCCCAGCAAGGTGATTGCCAAGCCTTGTCTTAAAGACGCCAAGGGTAGGAGCCAGCACCACTTCGCTTGGAAGTTGGTTCCAGATCCTAGCCGCCCTGACAGTGAAGTAGCGCCTCCTGATGTCTAGTCTGAATCTACCCTCTGCCAGCTTGTGACCGTTATTCCTGGTCACTCCTGGCAGTGCTCAGGGGAACAGGGACTCCCCCAATGCCTGCTGATCCCCGCTGACTAGTTTGTAACAGGCCACTAGATCCCCCCTCAGCCTTCTCTTGTGGAGGCTGAACAGGTTCAGGCCCCGTAGCCTCTCCTCGTAGGGCCTGCCCTGCTGCCCCCTGATCATGTGAGTGGCCTCCTCTGGACCCTCTCCATGTTGTCCACATCCCTCCTGAAGTGCGGCGCCCAGAACTGGACGCAGTACTCCAACTGTGGCCTGACCAGTGTCGCATAGAGGGGGAGGATTACCTCCCTGGACCTGCTCGAGATGCATCTGTGGATGCATGACAAGGTGTGGTTGGCCTTCCTGGCTGCATCCCCACACTGCCGGCC